ATCGGTGGCCGAAAAAGGACCAACGCAATTTTATTCATAAATCCATATTAAAGCGTAAAATATTGATATCCCTTTCTCTTCGCACCGCTTTATTAGGTAACAGTAAGTCATATGTCGATGTAAAATTTTTTCATTTGCTTTTTTTTAATACCAATATAAATTGTGGCAAATTTCGAGTTAAATAACTTCACCTAAATTATTTACTTAAATATCTTTAACTCTACCCATTTCGCTTATATTGCTGGAATTCCCATCATATTTGTTATTTCTCACTTAAATACTTCTTGATTTTAAAAGTTAAGAAAGTTTACAATATTATGAGGAAAAATAGATGGAGTTATAAAGAACGACAAGGTGCGGAAGAAGGAGAGGACGGAAGATTCAAAATGTTCCCATGGGTGTTGCTCGTTGGGAATGCTTCGCATAGTTTTCTTCCTATCCTATAGTATCCTATCCAGTTGCGCGCGCGAAATAACATTTTTTTCTCTCGATTTGACCGACTCCAAGGTTCACTACACACAGTGCGCCCGTTTCGCACTGTTATCCACACATAACTTGGAACGGAGCCGCCTCTGCCGCTGCCGCCGCCGCCCCCGAGAAGACGAAATCCACTTGCTGGATGCGAACCTCCGTTATTGACTTTATTGAATTGATTGCTTATAGAAATTAGGGGTCAAATATATCTTCATTAAACTCCAACCGCGCAGCAACCCATTGATCACGCTCCAGCATCCATTGCGGAAACTCTCGAAGATTAATCAACAACAAACAAAATAAAGTAAAAACAACAACTTATAATAACTTTCCTAAAACCTATCCTCTTCTTTGAATCACGTTTATATTAAACAAAAATCGAAACAGACGATTTCACCTGCAATTGCAATTTAACATATGAAATAAACCGCATTTTACAAATATATTTCGACATATTTTCCGCTATTTTTTTTTTCGGATTAGTGGAATGCATTTATGTAATAACGACTTTGCAGTTTGCATTTAAATCGAATTTTCCTGCTTTCACTTGACATAATCGTCGGAATTTTCGCTGCGATTGAGCCTACATAAATTCGAGCTTAATTATCTGGAAATATTTCCTTTTACTCCGGGGAACAAATCATCAAATATCTATTTCAATATGGATTTTTTTTATTACATTATGTCATGAGTTTATGGATATTTAAAAGTTGTAAGTAAAATTACTTAGTAAAAATCTTGTTTTTCAGGAATAGTGTTAACAGAGTTTGTGAAACAGGAGAACCAGGAATAATTTAATACGAAATTAGCCCAGATCTCTCAAAATGTTCGTTTCGCAACGGGGATATCGGGTTATTACTTATTTTTTTATGAGACGCGTTAGTAAGATGACACCTGTTACGGGTGGAATGTGCAGAAAGCAAAGAAACGGTGTCCGAATTTTACGAACATCGATTTCTTTATCACTTTATCTGCAGGGCAGACGCTTTAAAATGCAAATCCGTTTGTCGTAACCATTAATCGGTGGATTTTATTGGACGCCCGGGAAATTAGGCGAGAGCCTCCAAAACGTACGGCCGATAAGAGCTGAAATACGTACGTCCATTGTAAACTATGCTTATTATTGCCATCAGCTGCGTTCGCATCTCTCTGTTTCTCTCTGCGTCTGTACCCTTTCGTATAATTTTCGAGTTTATGTGATATTTGTTTTCCCTGCGCGTTTTGATGGGATACATCAATGTGCGGGATGGCAGGACGATTTACATTCGCAATTGGAGAAGGGGCTTATCAAAAAGTGCGTAATGGTCGCATCTGCAGTCTATAAACCACTCGACGCGGAGATGGAGAGTTAAATAAATTTCCCAACTACCCAAATACAGAAATCCTTTAGTCCTGCCACGGCCGATGTGTGGTTTTTATTTTTGCAGTATTTCTTTATTACGACATTATCGCGAAGCGATTTCGTCCTGCAACGTTTCTATAAGGAAGCTGATGTACGATGCCACGTACATCTCCGTCCGTCTGGACCATCCGGAGATAGGCATCTCTCGCGAGGCGGAGAGCGGCCGCGAGATGCTCGAGATTATAATGATATTTGATTTTAAATCGTTCGCTCTCTTCGGTCCTCGCATCCACCAATCCAGCAACCTTCCTTCTCTCGATCAATTATGTACTCACAATAAACAGCAATAAACGTCATGCGCCAAAAACCCCGAAAGTATTATCTCCGCGAGGGCAATTAGTTCTCGATGCGAGATAAGGGATTGGAGGGCTTCGAGCACGCTGCGAAGAGATGATGGAACTCAAATTAAATGTAGAGGAAGATGCGAGATGCTCGGCGTAACGATGAAAGAAAAGGATAACCGACCGACAAACAAACAACAACAACAACAACGAAAAGGGGAAATCGAAAAGAAAAGAAACAAAAAAAAGAAGAAGAAGAGAGAGACAACCTCTTCGATATATGTATATAAAGAGGAGAGAATAAAACACGGCCCCGTCATTAATAGCCTCCTTACAGCGTTACAGGGCACATTTTTTAGACTAAATACGTATTATGTACATACAACGATCTCATTATAAGGGAATAATGGATGAGGAACGAGAAACATTCCACCGAGAGACCTCACCTCTTCTTTCTTTTGTACACTCCACCGAAGCTCTCCGTCCTCCTCCCTCTCCCCTCTATCCAACTTAATTTTTGTTCCTCTCTCTGCTTTCATCCGTACCCTTTTTTTTTGGACGTTATTCGCGAACGGATCGCGCGAATCGCAAATGCGTTGGAATCCATGCTGCACTACACACCTATGAAGTGTGCAATCCCAGAAGTGTGACCCAGTATCGGGTCAGTCGAGGGTCAGATGCAGACACGCGCCTTAGAACTCCCGTAGTGGAAAACTCGTGCTCTTATATGGAATACACCGACACAAGAACACTGCGATCCCGCCGTTTAATTCCCATAAAACACTTGTTGATATTGTGCCATTAGCATAACGACGCTATTTACTCTCATCGGAAATTTCATTTTTTTTTCAGCATTAGATTTACCTAATCGATGCAGAAATACATAATTATCATCCACACTATATCTTGTCTTCAATATGCTCAAATATAACCAAGGCCATCTTATCCATTAGACAGCTTAATCCGAGATTTTGAGAGATTTACGAAAAAATATTGGTTAGATTCAAGAATGCATCTTTTGTTATAGTCTAAGACCTACGACAACCTAAATGTAATTAATAACTTCTATTATCATCAAAGTGACACTCTTTTCAGAGTTACCATTTTATGCATAGCAGTTGTACACTTAACAATCATTTATGTCATCTTTTAGTTTAAAACATGTAACTTTCTTCTTTAATTTATATTCAAATCTTTTCTAAAATGTTCTAAATTTACAATATCGATGCGGAAATTGGGTATCCATTCGAAACCTGCCGGATGTTGAGTTTGTTTGAGCTTTCCGATCATGTTGGAATAATATAACAAAGGCAATTTCAGTGAAATATTGAATAGTGGTGGTAGAACATAACACCGTTCCCTTGTATATAAATATATATATATATATAAACATACACTACGTGCGATGTGATATATTCAATTGTATTTCCAATAAATTGATGGTGTAATATGCACTTGCATATTGTGCATGTGCGAGTGTGTAAGGTGCCCCTCCGATTGTGTACAAATCACTTTTTATGATGATTTCATTTCGCACGTGCATGTCGTTCGAAAACTGTAACAATAACTTTCATCCTCCGACTGCTACTACCGCTGCTGTAAAACTCCTCTCCCCTTTCGACCGACTGCAATTGTTCATTTTGTCCCCTCTAACTTACCAACAAAACAATACTTTATTATCCATCTAGATATAAACAATTTTATATAGCTTCAATTGCAAACATGATACATTCCAAATAGAAATTTTCTTATTGCTGTTATATACACAAGAATTTCAATCTTAAGAAACAAAAATATTTTAGTAAATTAATTTATGATAGAGGAAAATAATCTTATTGTATAGTAAAAAAACCGACTCCATCATATGTATTGAGTTCTTCTTGGAGATGAAGAAATGTTTGGACTGATATGAACTGGAAATATTACAGTATTCTCAGTAAATGTTGGTTAATCCAGATGACAGAAGTTCCCCTTGCAATTTTCTATTCTTTGGGATTATTAATAACATACGATAAGTTGGATTTGTTGAAGAAGTAATAAAAATACTTAACCTCTTAATTTTTTATCTTAATTTTTTATTTACATGTACAGAGACAAATTCGCTATTTACTATAGTAAACGAACATTGTATAGCATAAATAGATAGGCGAATAATAAATAATTTATTGGATGTTCGCCGTTTAGTAAAGCGCGTTATGAATGTCCATAATACATCAACGCTGTGGACAAAGGCGGGGAACGCATAAACGGCCGCTTTTTTCCCAAAACAGATAGATAAATCACGACGAGCCATTCAATGATATTATAATTTCATCGTCGTCGCCATAAAGCACCAAACTGATGACCATCCCGATTCCCTAGCATTGCGCCGCACGCTCAACTCAATGTGTTGACACGGAATGTATACATTATAAGATTATATGCGGTCGAGCCGCAATAAATGGCAAATAATAAAATTTATGTACAAAATAAAAATGCATGAACAGTAACAGGCGAGTTTGTGAACTTTCCTTGCAATTAATCTTCCGCATAATAATATTCTTTTAATAGTTTTAAATTATGATATAGAATTTTATATAAGTTATAGTGGTTGTCTTGGTTTAAAGAAGTTGGGATATTACATGATTCTGCAGACGTTCTGCAGGTTACTCTGTTCGATTGAAGCATACAAATTGCTCGTCCTTGACTCTGGAAATTCCTTATCACGATATGTACAGCCGAAGCCGTTCGTTCGCTGGAATACGGCACGAATATGTAATTGAGTTAATGCACTCTGCTAAAGCTAAACAATAAGGAAAAAGGATTTCCCCGACGTTTGGATCTCATAAAAGTCGAACGATGCAACGAATTGTGCTCAGTACAACATGAAACTTGCGTCGCTCATCGTGTCTACGTTCTTGATAGTAGCCATCAAAGGTGACCAATCGCTAAATTTAAATTTACAGCTAGATAGATTTCATTTACTTACAGCTGCTAAGCATTGCGATAATCTGGGAACACTTTTCTACGATGATCTGGGATGCACCCCAACTTTAGGAACAGTTGGATGCCCTTCATCTTACGATTGTCCCAATTTCAGTGTAACTCCGGGTGTTTGTAAATTCCGCGGAAAAGAATACACTGGTGGTCAAATAATCAACGGAACTTCGAGATGCAATCGAGGATGTTATTGTCAAGGAGCATCGTAAGAGTCTCTCAATTTGTAATTTCGGTTTAAAAAACCAAACTGCTTTTTAGAGCTACTCAATGCGCCATAGTCGATTGTTACTTCGGTCCTAAAGACAACGAGGAATGCTACAACACGTATACATTGCACGGTTGCTGCGCTTCAGGAGAGAAATGCCGTAAAGTCTAATATTCATAAAATATAAATATTTATTTTAATTGTCAATATGTAGCTCCATTCAACGATTTGGCTACATGCAAAGCGAATGGAAAGACTTACAGGGAGGGCGAGAAATTTGTTGGTGATGGTACTTGCATGAGTTGTATTTGCGGTAAGGGCTTTAAGGGCGAATTAGTGGAGCCTTTCTGCGAGAGAATCAAGTGCGACGTGGAATTGGAAGGAGATAAAATCGCGGATAATTGCGCTCCCGCCTATCGCAAAAATAAATCGGCACTTTGCTGTCCTTCATATTACATATGCCGTACGTAACTAAACTGACTGTGATTCGAACAAAAATATATTGATCATTCTTATTAATTTAGAGTCGAAATCAACCACCGAAGATGTTGTGTTATCAGGAACCAAGAGTGGTCAGTTTTTCAAGAATTTGTAATAATTTATTGTAATAATTTGTAATAATTTATTGATTGCAGATCGTAAATGTAAATTCGGAAACGCCGAATACAACCTTCACGACACCTTGACTTTGAAATACACCTACGGTGGTCAACATACAGCGAAGTGTGCTTGCAACTTACCTCCTCTTCTGACCTGCACTTTAGATTACTAAATTAAGAATAAACAAATTTGTGGTTTATTTTTCTGATGATGCTGATGATGACACGGAATGTATACGTTATAAGATTATATGCGACCGAATCGCAATAAATAGCAAACAATAAAATTTAGTTACAAAATAAAAATGCATGAATATGTGAATATTATTTCAGAATTATATTGTACAATTTTACAAGTATAATATACTATTTGGTATAAGAAATTAAGAACTGTTTAAAGAAGTTGCGATATTACATGATTCTGCAAGCGCTCTGCAGGTTACTATGCTCGATTGAAACATACAAATTACTCTACCTTGATTCTGGAAATTCCTTATCACGATACGTACAGCCGAAGCCGTTCGTTCTTCGGTATATGAGAAAAATTGAGTTTTTCTACTCTGCAAAAACTAAAGAATAAAAAACGGTTTTCCCAAGTGTTTGGATCTTATAAAAGTTGAGCGAAGCAGCGAATGGTGTTTAGTGCAACATGAAACTTACGTCGCTCATTGTGCCTACGCTCTTCATAGTAGTCATCAAAGGTGACCTTACGATTGGTTCAACTTACAGCGAAAATAATATAAATTGCTTACAGCTGCTAAGCATTGCGAAAACCGGGGAACACTTTTCTATGATGATCTGGGATGCATCCCAACATTGGGAACAGACGGTTTCCCCACATCTTACGATTGTTCCCATTTCAGTTTAACCCCGGGTATTTGTAAATTTCGCAGAATGGAGTTTACTGATGGTCAGGAAATCAATGGAACTTGGATTTGCACTTTAAATTGTTATTGCGCAATAGACGCGTGAGTCTCTAAATTTGTAACTTCGTAATACTTAAGATAAACTCTTTTTTAGATTCTCCGAAATTTGCGCCATCGCCAATTGTAATTTAGGTCCTAAGGATAACGAGCAATGTCACAGAACGTACGAAATTCACGGTTGATAAACTATAGGACAGAAATGCCGTAATTTTGAATATTCATGAAACTAATGTAATTATTCTACTAATTCATATTTAGATCCTTTAATGATTCGGTTACATGCAAAGCCAACGGAAAGATTTTCAGGGAAGGCGAAATTTTCATTGCCGTTGGTACGTGCATGAGCTGCATATGTGGTGAGGGTTTTAAGGGTGATTTCGAGGAGCCCTACCGCGAGAGAATCAAGTGCGATGTGGAATTGGACGGAGATAAAATTGCAGAAAATTGTGCTCTGGCTTATCACAAAAAATAATCGGCTCTTTGCTGTCCATCTCGTTACATCTGTCGTAAGGAACTGAAATAATTGTAATTAAAACAAAAAATAATGATGATTTTTGTTCTAGTTTTTGAACTCAATCACCGAAGATGTTGTATTATCAAGAACCAATACTGGTCTGTTTTACAAGAACTGTTTTTTTTAGTGATAGATTGTAATAATTTATTGTAGATAGTAAATGTAAATTTGGAAACGCCGAATACAACCTGAAAGACACCTTGACTTTGAAATTAATCTTCGGTGGAGAACATACAGCGAAGTGTACTTGCAATTTACCACCTTTCCTGACTTGCATCGCCGGTTCGATTCCTGGTCAGGCCAGGCCCTTTGTAAGCCCTCTCGGTGCTTAAAGCAATAAGGCCATTGTTCATCACATATGAACAGTCAAATGAATGAGGTTCAGCATATGAACCTTCAGTCAAGTCGATGGACATTGACAGTGTTAAGGATAGCAGCAGATTCACAGTCAAAGGAAATAGTGGAATCGCAGAGCATCAATATACTACTGAAGTTAACCTACAAGACGACAGCCAACCTACAAATTAAAAATCAAATCATCATAATGGTAACTATCCATCGGGAAAGATTATCCACATTGATGAACAGATTGTGAATAAAATTATACGACATAAAAAAAATTGATATTGCATAAAAATTAATAACAAACTAATTTTGTATAAAGTCGTATTATTTATTAAAAAATATCTGCTTTCGAAATCTCAATTATTTAAAATCACAAAATAACTTGTTTTATAACTTCATTGTTATTAGAGATTAATAAATAATGAAGAAAAAACATTGTTTGATGATTGTATTTCCATGATTTTGAAAATGTTACTTAATCTGCAACGATGGCAATCGAAATCCCAACAATCAAAATCCCCAAAATTCGAAATCCCGACAGTATTAAAATCTTTACTTATTCATAATAAACCTTTCCGCCCGGGTATTTTTCATGTTATATTATATTTTTTGGTCAATAAATTGTTATAAATAACAACAATTAATAATCTAATTGTATTTTAGATTATTTTTTATTGTCAAATAATAAAAGATAATGTCAGGATTTCGAATGCAGGGAATCTGAAATTATTTGAAATTGATTCGATCACAACATCACAAATATTTTAATAATTGCTGTTAAATGTTGATTATGTTTATCAATGTTTTTGCAAATTAATTCCTCATTGATATTAAGTTGCGAAGTCTGCGGTAATTGGAAGTGGTTGCGTTAATTAGGGAGATGCACCTGCGTCTAAGGAAGATGATTACGATTCGGGAAATAACTAATATATAAAAAAGGACAAGGAAGACGAAGGAGAAGGAAGAGGGAAAAAAATGTTAAGGTAGAGGAGGAGTTGGTCGTTAGGTGAGCGCGAGCCGGGTCCGCGCCCGTGCTCCATCCATCCATCCGTCGAGATCAAAGGTGAGCTCCGTGAACCCGTAACTATTTTAGTGCCGACCGTTTTCTACCAGTAGAAAAGAAAAGAAAAATGAAAGAACTCTTCTCCTATAGATATAGTGACACGCCTTCCGGGTTTGCAAATAAATTACGGCAGATCGCAAAGAACAACCAAAAAAAAATCAATGGACAAATGTTTAAAAAGAATGAAGACGCGCATTTCATTCCTCCGCAATTAAATCCATTCCGTTCCAATGTTTTCTGTTATTTTTTTTAGCCTGTTCTCGTTGGACTGCGATGCTGCGGGTGGATCTTCAAGATCCGATCTATCTGGAATCAAATCGTGAGAGACATCGGTTCTTTTCTTTCTAACGAACTATGAGCCTACGTCTGAGGAGACGAGGAGAAGGATCCTTTTTAATCGCGGCGCAAAAATAACGAGTCGACCCGATGCATTTTATGGTGCAGCGATAGTCATCTCGAAAAACAATAGTCCTCCGCTCCACTTCCAACGACTCATAATTTCGAAGGATTCGTTTTTGAAGAAACGAGCGAAAGTCACTCCGCGTAAGCCTAACGAGCCCACAAAAAAAAATCTGCGACATTTACTCGATTCATTCTAATGGCACAACATGCAAAAACACCCTGACCCAATCTCGTTATATTCATCATTCCAAAAGAATTTACCTTATTTTTATATTCAAATATTCAAGAATAAACTCAACTTTATTATTATTTTTTATGAAAGATTTTCTTGTATATATATAAAATTATGATTGTTGATACAAACTAACAAACCATTATTCATTAACATTCCGTTTTTTCTCAGTACTTTCTCAATTTCTTTCTTTATGCGTCGTAAAACGCTCATTCGAGTATTCGAGTGTGTTTTGATTATAATTTATTTCTGAACGTCTCGACTACTTAGCCTATTCCAACATCAATGGTCGGTCTTATTTATTTATTTATTTACATACTTAATTGCTGCGCGCTTGTAATTATGCCTCAATTAGAGGCGAAAAACACACTGCAACAGAAAACGACGTAAAAAATGTATAAAGATGATTACAATAAACGATAATTACAATGGAAGAAGTGGATTTTCACCGTTTACTTTTGATGATTATATTAAGGTATTTACATAATTACCAGTCGCGCTTTGTTTATTTACCTATTTTTTACTCGTGTGTTTGGGGTCTTTTGTCTCAATAGTTTCAAAATTAATAGAGAGAGAAAATGAAAAGTTAATTTACTTTTAAAATTATTAATTTACTCCACGCAACCACAACTTCATCAACAAGCTAATTTTGTTTGCTGGAGAATTTGGAGTTAATTAAATATGTTAGTTCTTTTTTAGTATTTTTATGACTCTTTTATTTTCGTGATTCAATGATCGTTATAATTTGTCAGAATAAATACACTCTCGTATCTGTACTTAAAATTCTTAAAACATAACAATTTTATGAACTTGGAAATATTAAAAAAATAGAATCTTTTTTTGGTGTTAACGGCATTGTAATGATTTGTAATCATTTTTTGTGAAAGATTTAATGACAACAATTTGGCAGCATTAATAATAATCAATCTTTATTGGCCACAAAGTAGATATAAAGTAATCCGGTACAAAGTTCAAAAGGAATTGCTGATATTCCCCCGGTCCCAAGTATTATACAAATGATTAAGCAACTCAATAAATGTAGATACAATAGATACACTAAACCCACTCTGGGCATAAGGACAAAATAAGTATGTGTAAATCTTCAGATTATTAAAAAAAAAATAAATAGAAAAAGTTGGAAAGGTGGACAGCTACACACTATCAAATAAATAAACATCGCTTCAACAACAAGTCAAATCAGCAACAACACATTGTTAAAATATGTCTTCATCAAATATTGGTTTGTTGTTGCAGAATCTTTGCATGCAACTAGTTTTTTGAAACTGAGAAAAAGATTAACGTTCGTGGAAACTGCTGAAGTCTTATTGAACAATCTATTACTTAATCGTCGATCTTCTCTGGTGCGCGCGTATTTCATCATTATGTAATAACTAGGAAAAACTATTATCTCTTAATAGGGGTCATTTAAATTTCATATAAAATCGATGAATAGGAATGGGAGGGTAAATGGTTAAAGACTGTATGTGTATAACATGTAATGGTAAATTATGATGGTTCGCGGATGCAACCATATCCCGTGCATATTGTATACAAGTGCGCTGAGTGAGACGTGTTCATGACTACCGCGGTATCACGCGTCTGGGTCGTAGTTCAATCATCAGGGGTCAGCCGTGGCCCCATCGGTGCGTTGCAGCACTTCACCTGGTGCAGCCGTAATCAACGGAATCCGTTTCCTGATGCTCGCTCATCCACCCACCCATCCATCCATCCTCCAATTAAAACCGAAAAACAACGAAAAACTATATACTTGTAGCTGTAGCCGCAGCAACCGATCATTTCGGAGCGGATCGCATTCTTTCCCACCGATTAAAACATATCGTTTCTTTTATTTTTATTTTTCTTTCTCCTCTTTCAATACGGTAGCAGTATAAAAAATGGTTTGGGAAGAAGAAAAATTAACGAGCGGACGCATCGTGAGCGCTTCTTTGTTTGATCATATCCGAAGACCACCCAATCAAACGGGAGCAACGCGGAGCGGTGCCTTCGTACGTCGTCGGATTAATTAATTGCCTCGGAATTAACAACTGATTAATTTTTCTAAATTCCTTGGGCCCCCACTGATCCGATATCCCCAACGATTTCGATACTTAATCACTACGCTTAGGATGATGTCGTCGCTCGTTCATTACAAAAGCATTTCGGTGTTTGTCAATTTGGCTGGCAGCTGAAAACATGTGCATGGCCTCCTATAAATTGTAACATAATCCAAAAAAGGATTATTGAAAGCAGAAGTCTGGATAAATCAGTTTTACGATTAGCCAATCATAAGAATAGTACAAATATAAAATGTATGCTTCAAATTAATCAATAAGATGAAAGAAAATTCAATTAAAAAAATTTCTTTCAACTTATTGATTATTTGACAATTTTTTTTAATGACATCTAATATAATGACGTTGTGCATGCTAGAAAACGAAAATAAACTTACTGAATAACTTACCTTGTTTATGTGTAACTAAGAACTAAGTAACCTAAGAAATCATAATATAAATGTACAAGGTATGATTTCATTGTATTTGAATGTACTTTATTAATTTTGTAAGATATTATATAGTTTTGCGGCCTTCTGAAGGTATGATGTCAAACAATTGTTTGATTTTTATATGTGATTTTTTTATAGTGACATTAAATTTTAATTGATTGTTTTCCATTTGATATATTGCGGTGTAAACCTGAAATACTAAGTCTTATTTACTATATTTGTACCATATCATATGATATTAAATATATAATGTAAATCTATTGTGTATAAAATAATCTACACTATTTTTTTTTTATTAAATTTACAAAAAATAACTAAAATACATAAACCTAATCTTCATCATGTATACTGTTCGTTCGTGTAACGAATCTTCGTTTTCAGAGTAAAAATACTATGGCTAAAATTGACGTTTTTCATCGTAAAGAAATCTATTTTATGAACAAAGAAAAGTTTTATTAACTAAAAGGTCATCTTATCATGTTTGTGTTTATTATTGTCTTTCATTTAACAATTTTCAGTACGAAACATTGAAATGCGGATTAAATTAAATTGAAACTTCGTTATCAGAGGTAACGTAAACCAAGGTATAAATATTTTTTAAATCCATATTATAACTATGCAAACTAATTTCAAAAGGAAGTTAAAGTTGTTAAAAAAATATTTCTGTTTAGTACAAAAACAATTTAAAATTGATAAGGAATTAAAGCATATTAAATTTCGTGTTATTTTTACTTCGTACACAAAGTTAATATACTAGAACGTAAAATAAAGCAATCATTGTCGCTATAACATATAATCGAATTGTGTAAATTGAAGTAGTATTGTTTGGGAAGTCATGGAAAGCATATTGTTTGCGATTTTAGTGTCAGCGCTTGCATTTGTTCAAGGTGATTTCAAATACCCGAAATAAATAGTAATTTCATATATGTAACATCACATTTTTTGCAGGTAAAAACTGTGATTCGCTGGGAACGCTTATCTACGAAGATCTGGGATGCAAAGCAAAAGGAGGCAACAACAATACATGTCCAATTTCGTACGATTGTCCCCAAATTACGGTTAAAAATGGAACTTGCAAATTTGGTGGTACTATATACAAAGAGGGTAATCGATTCAATGGTACCAATGTATGTATGCCAGCTGTTTGCATGAGGTATGACCATTCACGACCATTATACGTAATCAATTTAAATTTTGATTGTTAGTTCAGGAATCGGTCGCATGGTTATTGATTGTAACCAGCGTCCCGAAGAAGGCTGCTATTTTGCAAACACCTTGGACAAATGCTGTTCAATTGATCAGATATGCGGTAATACTAGAAATTTTAAATAAAGATGCCTATTATAGTTATATAATAAATTTAAAAAAAATCAATATTTAATTTAGATAGTTTTGATGACGTCGAAATATGCAATGTTACCGGTCGATTGTACCTGGAAGGAGAGTATTTCACCCCCAAAGGTTATTGCCTTCATTGCATTTGCAAGCCAAACTTTGCAGGGAAATTTGTTGCACCTTTCTGCGAAAGGATCAGGTGCGGAATCGAATTAACGAACGATCCGATTTCGGATAAAAGTGCTCCACTTTATCTAAATAGTCCAGTCCGATGCTGCCCGATACAATTTATTAAACGTATGTTTTGATAACCTTTTTTATTGAAAACTTTTAATTACTTTTTTGTTATTATTGTAGCTACAAATGCAATCGTAACACATATTATACTATCAGGAAGCTCGAGTAGTAAGTAAAAATTATCTACGTTGATTGAATCGTTTCTAGTTTATTTATTTTAGCTGTAAAATGTAGTTTTGGAGAAGACGAATACGAGCTAGGTGATGTTTTGATAATAAACTACCAAAGCAGATATAATTCCTATATGAATACTGAGTCTGCCATTTGCTTGTGCACTTTACCACCTCTGTTAACTTGTACTAAGATTTAAGAAATAATCGACATTTTTGAAGAATGTTTGATATAAAATAATAAAAAAAAAAGTTATTATTAAATCTCTTAATTTGATATTTATTCACCATAGGTTTTATTTTTATTAATATTTCAATTTCATTTTAAAACTATCATGTTTTTGAAACTAAAAATAAACGTGTTTTCGCAACAAAATTTTCACAAAAAAATATATAATTAAACTTTTTTTTAAATTTATATCCTTTTTTTATTTATTAATTTTAGATACGCAAATCAAAAAGTATATTTTTTTTAATTTAATTGTTGTCAAAATCCATTTTATTACAAAATATGGTTTGTTTCTGCAAATCTTGCACCGAATTAAGTATACTATTTAATTCGATCATGTCCATATTTTGGTATAAATTATATATTGATGAAATATGTTCTCTTTTCCTTTTTCTGTCTGCTTTCTTCTTCTCGTTACATTCCCCCAATTGTTTATTATTTAACATAATTTGTATATCAATTTCTTGAATATATTTTTTTCAGATCTTCTCATGTTGTCTGATATTTCCTCTTCTTTCATAGAATTTTCAATCTCTTCCAATTTCGTGGTGGTATTGTAAAATTTACAATCCATTACTTGTTATATCTTTTTCTGATGATGATCAAATTTTTGGTAAATAATTTAGAAATTTTTAGGAAACCAAAAGTTCAAACAAATTATATAACAAATAAATTATATAACCAATAAAATAATGTAAATAAATAAATAATAGTTATTCTTTAAAATAAATAACATTTCTTAAAATTATATTGTTTTTTTTATTTATTAATGTTTTTCTATCGCGA